AGCCAAATCCAGAATTAAACAAATCTGTTAAAAAGAATATTTTTTAATTATTTACATTTTTTTTTCCAAAAATAATTATTTCTCTGATAACAAAATGACACCCTTTTTAGCTCACCTGAGCCGAAGGCTCAATTGAGCTTTTCTGATCAAAATTTTGTCCGTCGTCTGTCGTCATTGTTTTTAAAAAAAAAAGGCGTTGTCGTTGTAAACTTTTACATTTTTATCTTCTCAAAAATCACTTGGCCAATTTCAACCAAACTTGCCTTTAGCATCCTTAGGTATTTCAGTCGGTAGAGTGCTCGCTCCGTGATCGGGAAGTCGTGAGTTCCCAACTCGGCCGCAACTGAAGTAGTCGTCAAAAAGGTTAGCAACTGTTCCTTCGCCATGCGCTCGGCACTTTGGAGTGAAAGTTGTGGGTCCTTCGGATGAGACCCTAAAAACCGAGGTCCCGTGTCAGCGGAAGGCGTTGGCACGATAAAGATCCCTCACTGCTCAATGGCCCATGAGTGCCAAGAAAAGGTCAAAATTTGAAGCCCTTCATCGGCATACGGTGACGTCTCCACACGAGTGAAAAATTCTCTAGAACCATTAGAAAAGGAAAGATAAAACTAATGTGGGATCATCTCAGGTAGTGTAGATTCAAGTTTGTTTAAATCATGATCCAGACTCCCTGGGGAAGGTAAGGGCCAAAATGGTCGATCCAAGTTTTTTATAAGAATATATAGGAAAATCTTTTAAAATCTCCATCTCAAGTACTTCTCAAGTACTTCAAAGCCACAATTAGTGACATCTATATGAAATCAAGGTAGTGTAGATTCTAGTTTATTCTAATCATTACCCGCTGGGGAGTTTAGATTTAAGCCCCCCGTCAGTAAACTTTAATTTCTGATCTGATATCTTTTTTCTTTTTCCTAGCATGTGTGCTCAGGTGAGCGATGTGACCCCTAAGCCTCTTGTTCGGCTTGCCCGGTATTAACAAAAGATTGCGATTGTGAAATAGCAGGTAACTGTCCATGCATATTTATTGCAGTAGGCGCGGGAAGCAATGCTTAGTCGGCCATATTGGCGCAATGAAAATTGCCTCTGCTCTGTCGGTCACTATTTTTTGATTGATTGATTGATTGTATATTGTTTAACGTCCCTCTTGAGAATTTTTCACTCATATGGAGACGTCACCGTTGCCGGTGAAGGGCTTCAAATTTAGACCTATACTCGGCACTCATGGCCATTGAGCAGTGAGGGTTCTTTATCGTGCCAGCGCCTACCGTGACACGGGACCTACGTTTTTAAGGTCATATCCGAAAGACCCGTGACTTTCACTTCTAGTGCCGAGCGCTTGGCGAAGGAACAGTCACTACCTTTGTTTACGTCTTAGGTATGACGCGGCGCCGCGAACGAGAATCGAACCCGGGCCTCCCGATCACGAAGCGAACGCTCACTATTTTTTGAAGAACAGTTCCTAACACACTGAATGGAGAGAATATTATAGCACAAAGATCTCACACAAGGAAATAATTTCACTGTTAATATTACTATATAGCTTGAATTAAATTATATCATTTATAAGACTCTCAGCAAAAAATTCCCGAAGGAGACAATAAGTATTAATGCTTAAACAAAAATTTGAGATCAGAAAAAATATGCCTTATGCGGATTTTAAGAAAGACAAGAGGCCCAAGGGCCTTGAATCGCTCGTCTTATAAATTGTACAATCTATCACTTCTATTTGAAGCCTTGTACTCTAAGTATATTTAGATGCATGAACTGACAAAATTTGATGATTCAGTTAGGACTGAAGATATTTAGGTATAGCTATAAAATACCATAACTAGGAAATGTTGACCTACTTTTTCATTTGAAACTTTCCAGGGACTCAACATGCATTAATTGACGAAGATTGATGGTTTTAAGCCAATAAGAACCTCAAATATTAACCCTGGTAATGCTGATCCCGGAATATTCCGGGTTACGTCATATTGTTCATTAGCATGTTTTTATACCGTATTTTTAGACATGCAATGGAAATAAAGTCTAATAAAAACCTTTTCCTTATTTGGTAATACGTTTTGGGTTAAAACTAGCTCAGTGACGTTGCTAAAATCTGATTGGTTGTTATTTAAATCAAGTGTGTGGTTGCAAGTTTATTAATAGATGACCCAAAATGGCGGCGTTCTTACCACAACATGAAAACTTCTTCAACGAGTTATTTAACGACGTTGAAAGTGACGAAGAATTTGAGTCTGATGATCTGGCCGACAGCTCTGATGAAGAAGACAACGCCCATCCACAGGCACTTGTTTCTATAATAAATTTTGACCCATAGTATAATAATAACACAAGGTATCTAACTCCGATTTACACCGAGTACCCCCCTCCCTTAGAATCGCGCTCATTTACGCTTTCAGAGGAAATGCACGGGTAAACTGTTTATACCTATGTCTTCTACGATAATTTATCTACACAACCATATCTGGCATGCTTGTCTTTATTTTCTTTTATCACCGTAATCAGCGTCAAAACTCTGCTCACCGAGTGGAAAGTAAAACTGTACCATAGAATTGGATGCAAAGAATTAGACCTCGAATTTGATTGGCTAAAAATCTGTTTCTAAAATTACTCCGGAAAAACATTGTAGCGTTTTATGGAAAATAAGACACTATGACATTTTATTAATTCAATGTAATATTTAAAATCTGGGATTGAATTTTTAAACCCACGCATTCTTTAATTTTTCTCTTTGCCCGAGATTAGAACATTCAATTCTATGGTACAGTTTTACTTTCCACTCGGCGAGCAGAGTTTTGACGCTGATTACGGAGATAAAAGAAAATAAAGACAAGCATGCCAGATATGGTTGTGTAGATAAATTATCGTAGAAGAAATAGGTATAAATAGTTTACCCGTGCATTTCTTCTGAAAGTGTAAATGAGCGCGATTCTAAGGGAGGGGGGTACTCGGTGTAAATCGGAGTTAGATACCTTGTGTTATTATTATATTATGGGTCAAAAATTTATTACAGAAACAAGTGCCTGTGCGCTCATCCTAATAATATCATGGCAAACTGGCAAGATGGTGACCGACCTCGCACCGACATGGGCTTCACAGGCGTCCCTGGACTAAATGTTGAAATGCAAGATGATTAACATACGCCACTTGATTATTTCAACCTATTCATCAAGGATGATGATTTCCAGATTATGGCAGACGAAATGAAAGAAAAAAGTGAGCTAGCTCACATACCCCACGCTCCCCCAAAACTTGACGGTGTAACACATAATGAGAGGCACAGTGCACTTTAAATACATATTATAGATCAAAAAGGGCAATAATTGCAAAAAAAAACTTCACATCAAAATGTCTTGCATATGAAGACATTTAAATGTGGAATGAAGTTTCTAGATAAATAATGGAATCAAAATTTCTTGGCATTATACAAATCCAAACATTAATTTTAAGTGGTTGGAGGGAGGGGGTGGGTGTTGAGAAATTTTCTTGAATAATAGGCAAAACTCTTTGGGATAAAATTATGGAATTTGTCCTTAATATCTGCATAGGTTGACGAAACAATGTACAAAAGTTTAAGAGGAGTGGTGCTAACAAACTGTTCATCTTTATATTCAAAACATGGCCAAAAAGTCTAAGTTGGAAAGTGTGGAAATTCCCGGAAAAAATAAAGGAATCGGAATTTCCTGGTAATATGCACATCTACACATTGTGTCCTAAATACTTGCAAAGTTTAACGAAATTCTGTGCAGCAGTTTATGACGAATTGCGCTGACAAACTGTTCATCTCTATATTCAAGGTATGGCCAAAAACCTAGGTTTTTAGTACGAAAAGTCCCGGAAAAAAATAAAGGAATCGGAATTTCCTGGTAATATGCACATCTACACATTGTGTCCTAATTACCTGCAAAGCTTGACGAAATTTTGTGCAGCGGTTTATGAGGAGTTGCGCTGACAAACTTATCATCTCTACGTAAGAGGTATGGCCAAAAGCCTAAGTTAAAAAGTGTGAAAAGTCCCGGAAAAAATAATGGAATCGGAATTTCCTGGTAATATGCACATCTACATATTATGTATTAAATATCTGCAAAGTTAAACGAAATTCTGTGCAGTGGTTTATGAGGAGTTGCGCTGACAAACTGTTCATCTCTATATTCAAGGTATGGCCAAATGCCTAAGTTAAAAAGTGCAGAAATTCCCGGAAAAATAACGGAATCAGAATTTCCTGGTGATATGCACATCTACACATTGTGTCCTAAATACCTGCAAAGTTTGACGAAATTCTGTGCAGCGGTTTATGAGGAGTTGCGCTGACAAACTGTTTTTAGTGCGAAAAGTCCCAGAAAAAATAATGGAATCGGAATTTCCTGGTAATATGCACATCTACATATTGTGTAGTAAATATCTGCAAAGTTTAACGAAATTCTGTGCAGTGGTTTATGAGGAGTTGCGCTGACAAACTGTTCATCTCTATATTCAAGGTATGGCCAAAAACCTTAGTTAAAAAGTGTGGAAAGTCCGGGAAAAAATAACAGAATCGGAATTTTCTGGTGATATGCACATCTACACATTTGTTCATAACTTCGTGCTTAGTTTGACGAAATTCTGTGCAGCGGTTTATGAGGAGTTGCGCTGACAAACTGTTCATCTCTATATTCAAGGTATGGCCAAATGCCTAAGTTAAAAAGTGCGGAAATTCCCGGAAAATATAATGGAATCGGAATTTCCTGGTAATATGCACATTTACACATTGTATCCTAAATACCTGCAAAGTTTGACGAAATTCTGTGCAGCGGTTTATGAGGAGTTGCGCTGACAAAAAATGAGGACTGACTGACGGACTGACTGACTGACTGACTGACGGACGGGTCAAAAACATTATACCTCCCGCAACTAGTTGCGTGGGGTATAATTAATCGTTATGCGGAGCAGTATCTACAACAAATGAGGGAAACCTGACGCCTTCTTCCCGATTCCGTAGCTGGGTCCCAACAACAATGGCCGAAATGAAAAGGTTCATCGCGATGGGATTTGTGGTTCAATTGGATATCTCGGAATACTGGACAACGTCGGTAGTGAATTCCACACCGTTTTCCCCATCAGTGATGCCCAGGGACAGGTTTTGGCTTCTTATGTGTTTCTTCCATTTGGCAAACAACAACGGGCAGTTACGTCGAGGAAATGCGGGTCAGAATCCACTTTACAAACTTGGATCCCTGTACAAGAACATTGTTTGTTCATTCGGGACTGTGTTTCGTCCACACCAACATTTGTCTATGGATGAGGAGATGGTACCGTGGCGAGGAAATCTTTCTTTTCGTGTGCACAATCCAGACAAACCCAAGAAGAATGGGATCAAGGCCTACATGCTGTGTGATGCAGTGACCGGGTATTGTTTACGTTTCAAACTGTATACTGGAAAATCAGGCACACCTGATTGTGCAAATGGGGTTACACACGACTGCGAGGATACTTTGGAAAGGTTACATTTTGTACATGGACAATTATTATAGTTCACCACAGCTTTACACAGACTTGTTTGTGCTCGGGTGTGGTGCCACTTGAACATTACTTGTTAACCGGAAGGGAATTCCGCAGCGGATCAAGGACAGAAAGGAGGACAAAGGTAACATGTTCAGTATGTGAAATGATGAACTTGTTTTTGCGAAGTACCATGACCGTAAAGTTGTTTACCTGTTATCTACCATCGAGGAAGCTGCAAAAGCCCCCTGTGGAAGAGTGGCACCACGAACAGGAACAACCATCGAAAATCCTGCTATCGTTAATGCGTTCAAGTATATGGGAGGCGTAGATCGATCTGATCAAATGGTTTCTGGTGATGTATTATGATCTGGCTCGGGATGCTTGTATTTTGTTGTTATGTTTAGACGCCATGTAATAATAATAATAAACGTTGTGTTCATGTAAGAAATGTTTCATCTATGATTAGCCCTGATGGCCATATCAACATGGTGGCAGCGCTGCAAACTTGTTGTTAATGTTACCGGTCGTCCCCGAAAGTGATGCTCCGTGAAATATTGTTTTTATATACTAACTTTGAATTTATTTTTCAACACGTGCTCTGTACACAACCGCCATATTGGATCCAGACTCAATTCTCAGTAGTCTGAAATTTTTATTCGGAATGGATGAACAAGAACAAGCTGCAGGACCTGTACAGGTGTACAATTGTCCGTTCAGATTACCTCCCCAACTTGATTTATCCTCTGGAAATGTATCCGAGAACTACAAAAAAGTGGTAAAGACAAGTTGAAGTTTACATGTCTGGGTCAGGAGGAATCGGCAAAAGTAAAGAGGTACAAGTAGCAATTATTTTGAGATGTGGTGGACCTCAAGTAGTCGAGATATACGACCAGTTTCAGTGGGAAGACGAATCTCATAAGAATGACCCTGCTAAGTTATATGAGAAGCTACAGGCCTATTGTAATCCTCGTTCCAACGAAGTGTTAGAGTCTCACAGATTCTGGAATTTACTTTATCAGGAACCATGGGACAAATTTCTTGCAGAATTAAGAACACGTGCAGCATCGTGTAATTTCCAGGAACAAAAGAGGATGATGCGTGACAAGATTGTATTCACAGCTACTGGTAAGCTACAAGAACAACTGTTACGAGAAGACAAAGTGACTTTGAACAGAGCAATTCAGATGTGTAGGGCTTTTGAACTGTCAAACATACATGTGAAAGAGCTGCGAGAAAACATCACTTCATCTAACAAGAGGCCCAGGGGCCACAGCGCTCACCTGAGCACATCAGGCTTGAATTTACTCCACCCCCCCCCTCCAGGCCTTCATCATTTGAACAAACTTGAATCTACACTACCTGAAAATGATTCCATATAAATATCACAAATCATAGCTTTGAAGTACTTGAAAAGAAGATTTTAAAAGGTTTCCCTATATATCCCTATGTAAAACTTGGGTCAGCCATTTTGGCCCCACCCTAACCCCGGGGATCATGATTTGAACAAACTTGAATCTACACTACCTGAGGATGATTCCACATGAGTTTCATCTCTCCTGGCCCAGTGGTTATTGAAAAGAAGATTTTTAAAGATTTTTTCTATCCTTTGTAAAACTTGGGTCGGCCCTTTTGGCCCCACCCTTGCCCCAGGGGTCATGATTTGAACAAACTTGAATCTACACTACCTGAGGATGATTCCACATGAGTTTCATCTTTCCTGTCCTAGTGGTTGTTGAGAAGAAGATTTTTAAAGATTTTTCCTATATATTCCTATGTAAAACTTGGGTCGGCCATTTTGGCCCCACCTTTGCCCCGGGGGGTTATGATTTGAACAAACTTAAATCTGCTCTACCTGAGGATGATTCCACATGAGTTTCATCTTTCCTGGCCCAGTGGTTTTGGAGAAAAAGATTTTTAAAGATTTTTCCTATATATTCCTATGTAAAACTTGGGTCGGCCATTTGGGCCCCACCCTAGCCCCGGGGGTCATGATTTGAACAAACTTGAATCCACACTACCGGAGGATGATTCCACATGAGTTTCATCTTTCCTGGCCCAGTGGTACTGGAGAAGAAGATTTTTAAAGATTTTTTCCTATAAATTCCTATGTAAAACTAGGGTCGGCCATTTTGGCCCCACCCTTGCCCCGGGGGTCATGATTTGAACAAACTTGAATCTACACTACCTGAGGATGCTTCCACATGAGTTTCATCTTTCCTGGCCCAGCAGTTCTGGAGAAGAAGATTTTTTAAAAATGCCATTAATTTTTCACAAATTCATAATTATCTCCCCTTGGAAGGGGGCGTGGCCCTTCATTTGAACAAACTTGATTTCCCTTCACCCAAGGATACTTTGTGCCAAGTTTGGTTGAAATTGGCCCAGTGGTTCTTGAGAAGAAGATGAAAATGTGAAAAGTTTACGACGACGCTGACAACGACGACGACAGACAACGGACAAATTTTGATCAGAAAAGCTCACTTGAGCCTTCGGCTCAGGTGAGCTAACAAAGTGAATAAACTATCTACAAACAAACGACAGAAAAACTTCACAAAACAGAAAGTGACACACAAACAGAAAAGTGATTCACAGTCTTCAAACAAGGAGAAGAAAGAGTGTGATTTCTGTGGTTATAAACATGAAAATGGCAAATCAAATTGTCTGGCATGGGGCAAGAGATGTGACAAGTGCAACGGGGGAAATTATTTTAAGTCCAAATGTAAGAAAATACATGCTGTGGGTGAAGAGAGTGAAGACAGTTCAGAATTAAAAGACAGTTGGCTCCATGCGTTGAAAAGCAAAGACAAACAGAGCAAAGACATCACTGCTAAAATGAAGGTAAATGATTGTGACGTACGTTTTCAGTTGGACAGTGCAGCTGACGTAAATACCATTTGTCAGAAATATGTGAAGAAGGAACAGTGTCGTCCGTCGAACGTTCGTCTTAACATGTGGAAGAACACTCATATGAAACCCCTTGGTGAAGCTGACCTTGATGTAATCAATGTGCGTTCCAACGTCGTCCAGAAACTTAGATTTGTAGTAGTGCAAAACAATCTTACCTGTCTTCTTGGCAAGGATGCAATTCAAGACATGGGACTTGTGACCGTGAACAGTGAGAAGTTCAGATCTAAAGTTGGAATAGAACAGCCTCGTGGTGACTTGGGCATAGCAACTCTGAAAGCTGACCACAGTATTCAACCCAAAGTACTTCCATGCAGGAAAATACCGATTGCTATCCAGGACTCAGTGAAGCAGGAAATCGACAGACTTGTTGATCGAGGTGTTTTGATACCAATTACACAACCAACATTGTGGGTTAGTCAGATGGCCGTGGCTCACAAGTCAGATGGAAAGTTGCGAGTTTATATAGATCCACAACCTCTGAACACAGCTCTGATACGAGAGTACTACAGATGACCTGTATTAGATGACGTACTTCCAAAGCACACAAACGCGAAGGTATTCAGCAAACTTGACGTTAAAGAAGCGTTTTGGCACGTTCGCCTTGATGAGGAATCGAGCAAACTTACAACTATCATAACACCATTTGGGAGATGGGCTCGTTTACCTTTTGGATTGAAAGTATCCAGTGAAATCTTCCAGCTAGACGAAGCATCGCAAGTGAGTTAAGGCTAAATATGGGTATTTCTATGCAAATGAGCTAATAAGAATTCATAAATTGTATATTTTGTGTACAGAGAAAGTTCAAATAAATTTTCTTATACATACTTAGTACCCACAGTTTATTAATGCAAGTGCACATTATGACGTCATATTATGACGTCATTGTTCTCTCCCATTCAAGGTAATGAAACACATCAACAAAATCACGTCGACGCAAGGGCATATCCTATCTAATCTAAAATAAACAATGTATAATATTAAGGAGAATGTTATTAAAATTAATAGTATTGCTGCACAAATCCTATACACTTTCTCAATCGATAAAAATTTTAGGTAACTTTCACTGGACTGTGATATTTTACCCTGTTTAAACTTAAAACTGCACGGAGAATAACTAAACAATTGCAGTGTCGACATTTGTGCAGAAATATGTTAAATCCTTGGAATATCCTGCGTCTTTTTATACCTTGTTTCTGTTAAACAAAGTAAGGTATGACCTTGCGCCGAATCGATTTTGTTGATGTTTCTTATAAACTTGTGTAGTAGAGGTCGATGACGTCATGATATGACGTCATAATGTATACTGGCTATTGCATGCCCTCGGTACCAAGAATGTAATTGAAAACAAGTCTTAACATTTTCTGTGCAGTAGGAAGCGCAATTATTGAATTTTTTAGATATTTTGCATAGAAACCTCCATATGTAGCCTTAACTCACCTGCGATTATCAGGACTGGAAGGTGTATATAGCATTGTCGATGACATTATTATTTCAGGATGTGGTGACAGTGAAGAAGCAGCAAAACGTGACAATGAACTCAAGATGCAGAAGTTTTCCAGAGATGTGAAGAGAGACACATTACACTAAACAAGGATAAGGAAGAATCCGGACTTCGTGAAATTTCATTTCATGGACGCAAAATTTCTAAGGATGGTGTCAAGGTTGATGAAAGTAAAGTGAAAGCTATCCTTGAAATGCCAGCACCGACTGATGTCTTGGGAATCAAACGCTTATGTGGAATTGTTCAATACATGTCACAATTCCTACCAGATTTGTCGAAGGTATTGGAACCACTACGACTACTTAACCGGAAAGACCAAAAGTAGACCTGGGACAAGAAAGGTGAGTCAGCATTTCAGACTTTGAAACGTAAGTTAACAAACTCCAGTTGTGGTTTATTTTGATCCTTCAAAGGATGTAACACTGCAAGTTGACAGCAGCAAAGAAGGAATTGGTGCCGTTCTACTCCAAGATGGAAAGCCGGTCGAGTACGCATCAAGAGCTCTTACACAAGCAGAGAGAAAATGGGCTGAGAGAGAGAGAGAGAAGGAAGCTTTATCAGTTCTCTATGGACTTGAACGCTTTGATCAGTACACTTATGGAAGGAAAGTTTTCATCCATAATGATCACAAACCATTATCTGCTATATTGCGCAAACCATTAGGGCTAGCGCCAAAAAGACTGCTAGACATTATGATGCGTTACTTCAAATATGATGTAGAATTCGTATTTGAGAAAGGAGTGAACCTTGTAATAGCGGATACGCTAAGCCGAGCTTTTTTCATGACAACGGAAGGAAGTGTAGATGAGCGTCATAGGATTCTATCTGTCTCGACGTTACAAGAAAACGACAAGGACTTGACTGCTAAAGATTCAGAGATGCAAACATTGGCCGACATCATAGCCAATGGATGGCTTGACAGTAAACAAGATCTTCCAACGAGTGTGCATCATTACTTTGA